CGGCGGCGCGGCCAGGTGTCCCCAAGGCAGCAGGACTTCTCTTCCCCGCGGCGGCACCGCGCGCCTCTCCCGCAGCATCTCCAGCGGCCCCCGCGGCGCCGTGCCCACGGGAACGTACTAATGAGTTGCCTGCCTGAAGTGATTTGTTGTGGCATCTAACTGCTTCTTCTCTTCCTTCCTTTTTGTCACCCTGCAGTGTTCTGTGCCAAGGTCTTTGTGGCTAGGCTGCTCCAACCTGGTAGAGAGCATGTGCGCACTGAGATGCCTGCAGAGCATGCCCAGTGTCAGATGTCTCCAGGTGCCTTTCTTCTTTCTTGTTGTAAATGTTATGCTGTTGAACTTTGTTAAACGCTCAGGACTCTTGTTTAAATCGAACTGTTAAAGTCTGCTAAATGTGTTTTGAGTTCTGTGCCTCCTTTATTTTGCTCTTTTCTGACATCTTCTGCTTAACAACGTTGCAGGAGGGAGGCCTAAGAGCTGCCCCGGAGCTTCTGCTCGGTGGGAGGGCTGCTCGGAGCTGTTCTGTTTTACTGCCTGTTTACTCCAGTTGTGATATAAGTAGCCTAGTTGTGCATGTTGCCTGCTACATTTTGCTTTCTTGTTTAATTTAATATATATTTATATAGCCTAATGAGCTTTGCCATTTCTCTTAATTGCAATGAACTGACTAGCCTACTGTATTTTTGTGATTTATTGTAGAAAGGATAAGCTTTTTGTTTTAATTTTTGTTACTAAGTGTGCTCCTGGTTATAGTACTATATTGCAGCCCTTGCGCATGTCTGAATGCCCACGAGTTAGCATGGAGTCCTGGGGCTTTCTGAGATGCTGTTAACTTAGCTTAACTTTTAAAAACTCCAGAGCCAGGGACAGGGGGGCTTGAATACTGTTAAATCTCAAGTTTTCTTTCTGCTGTTTTCATCTCATAACCTGTCTAAGCTGAGCCTGCTGAGTTGGTAGATAGGGCAAGAATTGCTATTTCTTTACTGGTGGGGGTGGGATTGAAAAATATAACTTACACAAGGGAGGTTTTTATGTATGTTCAACTCCCAGGATACTTGGTGTGGAAAATAAATGTAGAGCATGTGGAGTAACTATGTGGCCCTTCCTGAGCTGTTTCGGAATGTGATGTTTCTAGCAGAACAT